ATAGAAAAATATTAATAATGTTAAAATTGTAAATTGATATTACTGATATTAATTGATATTGTTTAATGTTAAATATTAAACTACGATATTACCTTGTGATATTGCATCAAACAGTACGGACACTTTTGAAATTTCCGATTGTCCTCTCTCGACCATCCTTGTTTTGGCTTGATCTCGACGCAAAACGTCTCGTTGCTTTGAAATAAGCTCGTGTCGCATTTAGTTCGAAGGAAAGTGTAATCTGGGTATTTCGTGGCGTAAGCTTCTGTAATTTTCTTGTTGCGCCGTTTTTCTGGAAATAAGGGACAATAGTGATAAAGACAGTTTCTGCAAACTGAATTTGAAAATTCAAAAGACAACTCGTTAATGATACATTATCAATGTAATTACACAAAATTGTTCAGGTTATATTTGTAATGTCTTATTAAACGATAAAAAACTGCAATAGTTTATGACGAAACGAAATATTTCCTTAAATAACCTTTATTTAATTGTTTCACTGTTATATTTTCATGATTATTTAACAAATTATGCCAAAAGAAGTAAATATTCTAAATAGATAAATTTCATATTAACTAGTTTAGGGAGCAAGACACAAATCGATATTAAACACAAAAATTGTTATCGATTATAAGACAAATAATAAATGTTTTCAATATTTCTAACAGTTTAACACTGTATCAGTCAAAATGATTAGTTTTAATTTTTTTCTCTTGCAGTTGTTGGTATCAAATAAACGTTAAATATCTGAAATTTTTTTACAAATTAATGTCTGTATCCCGTGTATAATAACAAATTAAAAAATCTATTACTACTATTTTTGTAAGAGTTACAAATCTTATCAAATATTTAATAGTTCTAGTTTTAAATAAAATAATCTTGTAACTGTATGTTTAGAGCTGATATCTAAAAATATTCATGTTCTATATAAAGAACACAGTGTAAAAACAAATTCAAATGGCGCACCGTTGATTAAAGTGACTACTGAATGACTTGATATTTCAAGTGTTATAAGTTTGACAGCGTCAGTCATCAGTGACCCTCGCTGTAGTCGACGAGTTAATAGGCAGCTCTCATTGCATTATGGAGTATAGCGCATTTGTTCGACCTTAAAAAAGCTGAATCATGCGACTATCATTAATATGAAAGTTAAATTTTTCGTTATTTGTTTTTCCAAAAATAAACTTCACTTAATCTCTTATACTTTTAGTACTCATAGTACTTTCACATGTACATTTACTACTAATTTTAGGATATTAAAAAAAGTATTAAATATATATTCAAAACTTTGATCAGAAAAATAAAAATAATACATCTGTAACGTTTACAATCGTTTGATATTTGATGTAAAGAGAAATAATTGAATTTTAAATCGCGTATACCATATATTTCTTAATGGCGAATACAAGAACTAAATTAAAAAATGTTTGAAGATGTTTACTTATTAATTTAATGATTTTTTAAGGTAGCATGAAGATTCTATTTATTTCTCCTTTTTATAAAGGAAATGCGTAGAGAATGTGAAGTTAGCACAAATATCTGCGATTTACTCATCCATGAATCAACACAGAAACCGTTACATTTTTCATGACTTGATAGCGGTTGTTTACAGAATGTATTTTATATTCGTCAGTGCATATCACGATGAAACAGGAATATCACATAGAATCAATGAAATTTGCATTTCGTATTGAACGTATTAAACATTTTCATTGATATAAAATATTTTTATTAACGTTTCTACTTTATACCAGTATATAAACAATATTTAGCTGTGTAATAGTTTATTCATCACATTTTTAAAAGAACAGTTCTCGAATTAACCCTCGATCACCGATGCTTGGGTCTGTTTTGACCCAGATTTTAAAAATATAAAAGAAACAAACTTTGACACTTTCATTCTGAATTAATGATACAGTAGAACACAAATAAATTAGACTACACAACAATTTGATAAATTATCTCCTTACCCTACGATTAATCTTAATAATCCTTAATAATTTACTCGAGAGACCAAACATTTCTTTTCTACATCTAAATGTACTCTAAACCATACAAATTAATAATAAGAAAAATAATTCCCTATTTGAACTCAAAGGAACTGACTGACATTTATATTTGTTAAATAATATTTGAAATCTTTGCCATGAGCCAGGCACGATATTATACGAATAATAATAGTTTAAACCATGTAAATAATGGATAAGATTCTTATTTCAAGATTAAAGCGATCCAATTTCGATTACTTTTAATGCACTCGCAAAATACCTCGCGGCCGGACATTTACAGGAACAAAACCTTTTTGTGCTGCACCCACCAGTAAAAGCATACAAGGTGCACGGAGCATCTGTCGTGTACGTTTACCGAGCCCGTGTTTGCATATTCTTCGTTTTGAGTTTGAAAATAAACGTTCACGTGGCAGTTCGGTTGCGAAAATACCCTCGACTGCCGGACGTGATCATTTTCTAAAAATAAGTAACTGGAGAACTGTCCTGGAGAACGTGAAGAGAGAAAGTGCAAGAAAAAGGGACACGCGAATGCAACAAGTGTAACCTACACGTGTTTCGTCCGAAATGCATCGAATTTACAAATCTACCGGCAATACACAGCAGGGTGCAATTACGAATTAGTAAACACGAACCGAAATCGAGAAAGCTTCACTATATCATTCTTCAAGAGCGAAATACTTAACACTGTTCCCACCACGACCGGTCAAATGACCGTTTTCAAAATTTCGATTAGAATTTCCTATATACAACGTAATTGAATCGCCCTTAAACTTCGCGACTTTTCCTCAAATATACGTATATTAGATTCTTCAATATTCACTTCTTTTTTCATTGTTTATTTTCTGAGAAAAATTTGTAGTCCGTCTTACCTACCACGACCGGTCATTTGACCGGTAGAACGATTTATATTTTTTTGTAATAGTATTCTCTCAAACACTCAATTCCGAAACTATGAAGTCGTTACAAACGAAAGGTAATGCAGTTGTGGCATGATTTTAGCAGAAAAGTGCCTTCCAGGGACTGCTTTACGGCACTTCGAAGTGTCTACAGTTTTCGCTCGCCTATCGGCCTCGGTAAAATCGGTAAGATCTAAATGTCGGAGATGGTCTTTACAGGTATTTTTCAATATCCTAGACTTAGCTGGGATAAATGCATGGGTTTTATATAGAGAAACCACGCGAGAAGAAATTTCGAGACGAGAATTTTTATTTCAATTGGCAGAAGAACTTGCCATCGTATATTAAAAAGTGCTGCAGCTAGGCAAAGGAGATCAACCAACACCCGTCAGAAATACAAGTACAGGTTCACGTGAACGGAAAACGTGCCAGATAAGATACTGCAAAGACAATAAGACTAACAAAATCTGTCTAAAATGTAAAAAGTACGTACGAGGAAACGAATAAAATGTACATTATATACTTCTGAATAAAAGAAACTATATTTTTATACTGTCAAATTGGCTATTATCTTCATTCTATATTAAAAAATACAAGTTGTGCTAAAGACCGGTCATTTGACCGGTCGCGGTAGGAATAGTGTTAACTGAGGGTTGATTTCTATAATAATTAGAGTGCAAATCTTCACGAAAACTTAAATTTTTAAGAATGTAATGGGAAAATTAAAATTATCAGAAATTGTACCTTTTTCTAATGATAATCTACATCTTATTATGTTACTTTTCTACGACGGGTAATGGATCAAGATATAACAATTTATATTGTTATGACAGTAGCTCTCGATATCTTGTCGGCCATAATGTTTCAATACCTGTTGCTCATCTGTAAACGACTTAATTGTTTCAAGGAACGGAAAAGCTTTTGTAAAAATCAATACTTCACAGAGCCAACTTAAAACCGATCGTGACAGGAAATCGATATATGTATCACGGAGGGGATTGGAAGTAGTCTTGGAAACTGATTAAACGCAACCCACGTGAAATGTAATCGATGAAACCAATAAAGAAAGAGGAAGAAATCGAAGAGATTCGAATATAAATTACAATAATTATAGAAATTCTCAGTAACAACACAAATTAATGTTGTTTGCAAATGAATTAGTCTAAAATAGTTTGCTGTTGTTATAAAGTTTATTTTCTTAACTTTAATATTATTAATAATATGAAACAATTATAAAATAATCGTAAATATAAATCTCTGGTTCATCGTGAATGTTTATATCCTTCGCGAATAAAAGATATAGATACATTCAAAAATTGTTGAAATTAAAAATATCAACATAGTATTCATATTACCAAAGGGCATAGCAGTTTTATATTGTTTTTAACATACTGGAATTATTAACAAGAAAAACAGAATTTTATTTAATCTGAGTTTCCTTGAATTCGTTTATACGTGTGTTTAAACGTCTGCTGCTCATTGATAATGACATTCGTATTTAATCAAGTTTCGAAGATACCCGATTACCATGCATACGTATAGACTTAATTTTTGCGTGCATACATGTTTAAATAAATTTGCGAACGGCTTTATATTAAACGTGCAACGTGTGAACTTTACTACCCAATCGTTTTCCCTTTCTTCCCACGACGCAGAAAGCAACACAGTAATTTCATTTCATTTAGTAAACAACTGTTAGGTGACTGTTTGCATGAATGCTCTCCTTTAAACACTTGACGAAACAAAGCATGCCTCGGACAAAGGAGTTGGTAGAAGGATTACAGGATGCATGCTTGGTTGATTCGAAGGGTTACCGGAAAAGTGCTAATCATTCTCCCTTCCAGTTTTCTCTCTCCTTTGTGTAGCGCAAACAGCTTTATTCGTCTCTTAAAGAACCGATTCTATTTATTATCGACAAGCTAAAGGATGTAATTATTATCCTCAAGCTAAAGAACATTATTATTATCGGCAAGCTAAAAGAGATCACTTTGGAACTTAATGGAGTGAAATAATTAAATAAAGCTATAAAAATGTTGTTACTAACATTAATGACGACTTACAACATTCAGCTAAAATGATTTTTACTTTGCTCAAGGCATTTTACATATTTTATTATTAACGGACTAATGGTATGTGCAAAATCTGAAGAGATATTAAACAAGTGACAAACTTCTCTTTATACTTTACACTGTTGAAACCCTTTGTTTATATTAAATACAAATATTTTACATTAAAGTATACATGGAAATTTAGATGAAATTAAGAGAAAAATCTAAACCTAATAAAAATGGCACTTAAAAGTAGTTTCAGAGTATTCAAAATTAAAGAATAAACGTACTTAAAGATTACTTTTAATACAGTTAGAAAGTCTGGAATCGTTCAAATAT